AGACGCCCGACTGTGGCATGTTTGTTATTTATTTATTATAAGCCCTTTATGTGGTGTCGCATAGACGCCCGACTGTGGCATGTTTGTTATTTATTTACTATAAGCCCTTTATGTGGTGTCGCATAGACGCCCGACTGTGGCATGTTTGTTATTTATTTATTATAAGCCCTTTATGTGGTGTCGCTGAGACGCCCGACTGTGGCATGTTTATTATTTATTTACCTATAAGCCTTTTATGTGGTGTTGCTGAGACGCCCGATTGTGGCATGTTTATTATTTATTTACCTATAAGCCCTTTCTGTGGTGTCGCTCAGACGCCCGACTGAGGCATTCTATTTCTACTCTCTAATTGCATTATTCATGTGTTGCGTGAATAACTTGTTTGCGTGCATCATGGATTTTATTTCTGTGACTGACGTTGTGATCATAGAGTATTTCCGAGCATGATTATCGTTGTTATATTATTCCTGTGTTCATAATGTTTGCGAGTACATTCAAAGTACTCACTGGCTTGTCCCTGGATATTGTCTTGGCCAGATTTCTTGCGCGGAGAGGAGCAACGAGATGACAGCCCCGGAACCTAATCAATGGTGATAGCAGCCTCGCGAAGATAGGAGTTAACCTGGTCAGCTGTTCCCGTGGGAAATGGAGTTCCACAGACGCTGATGACTACAAACCTCTTCTGCCACCAACAACTAGAAACCTTGTGTTGTACTCATGGGCCAGAATGGTCTTATACTACATATCATGTAATTTGCTTGGAGTTATTGTATCATGTTTGTGTCTCGCCAGCTAACAGTAATCCTGGGACTGGTGAGCATAAGGGCCATTTTTTGGGAAATTAATATCCCGAAATCCGGTCCTGACACTGCTGCTGCGGAGAGGAAAGTCGTGGCCTAGTACACCCTCGAGGCCACTGCCGCGCAACACAAGGCCGCCGTTGGTTGACGACAACAAGGCCCTCGTTACCAAGGCCGTCGTTGACAAGTCGGTTGGAGTGCGTGGTTGCGACACAATACCGCCTCTGGTCCTAGCTATATATTGCCCCCAGCCGTGGCCAAAGACATATCGAAAACACCTAGAGTTTTGCCTCATCCTGCAACTTGCGCTACCACCGTAGCCTACTCCATCCCGAACGCGGCACGCATCAGTGTGCGGGAGAGCGGGTCTCCGAAACCATTCATCCTTGTGATCATGCACCAGGAGAGGGCGAATTAGGTTTTTGGGAAGTGCTATGCGCGACTGCTCAAGTTCGTCATCACGGGTCATCTTCCGTCCAAGTCGGGCGGGGCTACTCATCGTCGTCTACAAAGCCGTCAGCAACAGATCGGCGCCAACAACATCATCAATAACGTCGCTCACAGTAGCTAACGAACAATACTTTCATCGTCATTTGTTCGTGCCTCTATTTGTACTTGTTGCTACATGTGCGATGCTGATTTGCATGTTTTTCTGTTTGTCAAGTATGCTAGATTGTTGCATGCTATTTTGATCTAGTCATGAATTATTTACTGAAATTAATGATGAATTTGCTTAATATTCCAACAATTTTTGCTTCAACACATTGTTAGTCTTGTTTGATTTTATTATCATATGGAAACAACTCACGGCAATTCACTATCTGGTTTTAACCATGCAAATGCATATGCATTTTTAATGATTGTTCATTCGTCACGCAGGGTGATCCAATTTTTTGCTGCGTGCATGCCTCTTTAGTCGGTCTTTACATCTTCTAGTGGTGCCCTGTGAAATACTACAACAATCATCATAGATGCAACCAACGACTGCTCTACTCTTCTCTGCCTGAATTGGTGCCACTTTTAATGTTTCATAAATAGTGCCATGTGAAAAAACCATAGCAGTCATCGATCATAGGTAGGTGAAGATGCACAGAGACGTAATTGCATTATCAGAGGTTTCAGATAGCCACTCATTGTAATGAATTATTTTGTAGTAGGAAAAGAGTAAAACTACATCAGAACCAATCTGAGATTCCTCCATTTCCAACAGGATTCTAACGGAATGAGCGTAAAAGTTTGTCTTCCATGCTTGTATGTCCGCCTACACCTATGCAATCTAGTGTATATAATAATCAAATATAGTCTGCATGACTCACTAGATTTTTTATAAATGAATTTTTGGTTGCTTGTAGAAAGTTTGTTTTCCATGTTTGCTGATGATGCTACAACATGGATGGTAGCTCTACGCGATATCTATTTTATGTGTGGTTCTGGGGTCTCTACTTTATTTGTTACTAGTCAATGTGTACGTGCAATGCACATTAATTTGGAAGTATATTAAGTGCATGCGGATGTTAAGTAGAATATTATTTTGCGTGTTATTATGTGATTAGCACTATATTTGGCATGAAATTAACTGCACGCTAAACGTGTTGAGCGTTCGACATTGAAGCAGTCTAGTCGTTGGATTGACATGATTTGGTGGCCGAGATTAATTGGATCTGCCCCTTTGGGTCTTTTTATATTGGTATAGATGCCTAATCCTATCTTGTTACTTCATGCCAGTTCTTGTTCTGCAATAGACTCTATTCTAATGAAAAGGGGAAGAATGGGTTCACAAACATCTTGTTATGTTTAGAAAAGAAAAGGAACACTCTGTTCTGAACTTGTTATAATGTAACTGGGAGACCTAGTTATGTGGGGTTTGACCTGGTAACAAAAATCATAGCCTGCAATCCTTTGATTGGTGAAAGATTTTACCAAGCACGTATGAACAATTAAACCTGATACTGTTTCCACCCATCCTCTTAGTTTTGGGTTATTATTTTTGTTGACAGTTTCAGTTCAGTTTTTGTCCCATTTGTCCTGCCTGTAACAAGCCTGATGGTTTACTTTTAAACCTTGTATGGTTTATTTTAATAGAATATATGCTGCAAATAGCTGTTACTTGCAAACAATAAGAAAAGGAGTCTGCGGCATGGGGAATCACATGCAAATGTTTTCGTAATCAGTCTTGCTAAATCTCAGTCGACTGAGACTTCATGATTTCTCGGTCAATGCTATATTCATGAGATCCTACATTGAAATCAAATGGTTTGCTGTCAATTGCACAACACCACAGTGGCTGCCCGACCAGATAAATAGCACATGCAACAAGTAGCTAGCATCCTAAGTTCAACCCTCAACCTCCAAAACCAGTGGCCACAAGCAAACTATGGAGCTATTCAACTGAGACTTGATTATTCATAAGAAACAATGTAGCATGAATTATAACCTAATTGTGCCGGAAGACAAAACTGTCACAGGCGGTCACACTCATCTCATGTCAAGACTTGGCCAGTCAAGCAAATGGACAATTTTCAGTTTTAGCAAAATGCAGGCAGCTTTCACCAAAGAATAGCAAGGGGGATATCTATCCTGCGTGGAAGTTCGAGACAGCGGAAGTTCAGACCGGAACAAGATCCAATTTTGATCTATTTATAATAGCTCCTAAGCTGAATGTCCTCATCCGCGAACAACTTGCATCGAACAAAATACAAGGGTTTGAAGAACAAAGGTGCAGGTCTCGGCGTTAACTCGGTTGGTGACTTGGTTCTTGCATTCTACAAGTATGTGGCTAGGTGTGAAGATCCCTTTGAAGGAGGATTGTTGGCAGACAGGGAAGGGATTCAGGCAGCCACCACCTACGCAACAGGGCCGTTTGTCCTTCAATCTGACTGCTGGAATATGATTAAGACGCTCAAGAACCTGAGCCGAAAGAAGTCACGAATAGGCCATCTGGTTAGAGAGGTGAAGAAGTAGTTCATGGAAGAAAGCGGGCCATCTAGTTAGAGAGGCGAAGTTGTTCGTGGAAGAAAGGGAGCTGATCATCATGAAATTAGATAGAAGCCAGAATAGGGTGGAAGATTTCCTAGCTAAATTTCCGACCTGTGATTACAAGATGTCCCTGAGAATCTCAAAAGCCGTTGGCTATGGATTGTAAACCTATTCACTAATCAGTAAAGCTCCCAATTTTGGGAAAAAATATAATTACAAACCAAATCACTCTGCGAATTAGCAACTCAATGCAAGCCTTGGAATGCTAATGACACGTAGGTAAAGGACGAGAAGAATCTGCAGGTTATGATATGGTCAGCAAAAATATAACATTCCTCAGAAATACTAGATTTAGTAGGACAACAACTTAGAATCTTAACAGACCAGTGAGAAGTCAAGTAGAGAAATATTGGTCATGGGCAGCTTAAACGAAGATATTAGCCACGGATAGCTTAATCAAAACAAAAATGAACAGTGGAGCTGCATGACTAGTAAGTACTGTAGTAGTAGTAATGAACGGCTAACTTGTGTGCACCATTACCTCTGTCTTACCTACAAACATATCATTTCAGTGAATTATGTTGTTTATCCACCCCTTGGGAAGGGGACTTCTCTTCCCATAAAAAAAAAGAAATGATAATTTGTCCAGCTTTGTTAAGCTGCATATATACAGACTGGAACAACAATGGAACACCATACAGATTTTTACCCTCTCTGCAAATGCAGAGGCTACTCTGACATGTTCCATTTCTAAATTGAAAACCTTCAAAATCTGGCAAATGAGAGTGATAGTTCCAAATGCAGAATAACAACACGACATCAAAAGATAACCAATTTCATACTAGAAACTTGTACTATGTAAATGGAAATAAAAGGAGTTTGACAAAGATAAGACACTTGTACGATGTAAATGGAAATAAAAGGAGTTTGACATCTCTTAAATTTACCCCACATAGGAGCTAACAAGGTGACATCAATAAGACAATAATGATCAATTAAGGGTCCCTTGCAGATTCTTTATGCTTAACCAGCACGGTTCAAAACGACAAAACCCATTAGAAGTTCAGGGCACAAAGAGATGGGAAGATAAAACTGAAGCAGATATAGACGCTAGGACACATCCAATCCAGTGCCACAAAACAAAAAGATCAGACAATACCCAATACCCAACAACCGCTTTTTCTGAAGTGCCACGCTACGGACACTAAGCTGCAGGTAGTACTTTCAGTGAGCATCTGAAGCCCATTCTGCAAAACATGGGACGTAAGGTAGAACATCCTCGAGTTCTTGAGAAAAAGTGCAGGTAGCATTGACTTTCTGATTCTCCATATCATACGACACTGCCATCTCCTCCTCGTCTGTAAGAAAAATCAAATCACAATCTGGATGAATCGCAAACACCTTATAGGACATATCATCTTGGCCAGGTTGCCTCCCAAACAGTTCTGGAACGTTAACAGTATACTTGAGGGTCCAATTTCCACCACCATAATCTTCAAGAACCCACACATAGAGTTGGCAATCATGATCGTCTTCAATTTGCCACGCATACAAGCGTCCTTGTGACTTCCCAATGGAAGCCAACTGATTTGTGTCTGGCGAGTGCTCAGGCATTTCAATTTCCCTCCAAGCCTTCCCCTCCATGTCGACGGTGACCACTAAAGCATAATGGGTAGCCAAATGCATGGTGCCGTTGAGGAAGACGCATTCTGAATTCCCAACCAGAATAGTTTTGTATCCCCACTCACTCTGCACCTTGGTCCAGCGTCCGGTTTCCGACGAGTAGATGGCCACCTCTGTGAATTCGCAGAAACAGTTGGTCAGGGGCACAAACACCACAAAGCGGGACGGAGCTGCCGCGTCGAAACCCAGGAAGATATCCCTTATCGGTTCGAAATACACCATAGCACCATCCTCTTCATCCAGCCATCCTATGGGAGGCAGCACGGTCCACTGCCCTGTCATAGGATTGCACACGACGTAATCACATTCGTCTTCCTGGTGACGTGATTGCAAACATTTGCAAAGGAGGAGGCTGCTGCAGCACTGCTCGACCGAGAAGCAGTCGTAGATCCCGCGCCAGAAACGGAGCGAAGGGTCGACCAAAGGGGGCCCTTTTCCGGACAAATTTCGGAAATTGAAGCGGCCATGGTCCTTGAAGAAGAAGCCGGACAGGGTCTGCAGCGACCTCTTGCGGACAGTCGGGTCTGAGCAGAGGGCCAGCCATGGCTTGGACACGCACTTGAAGCGGCAGAGCGACCTGTAGGGCACCCTGGACAGGATCTCCACGATGGCGCCTTCAGGAAGATCCACCCCGGGCGGCTGCTGCTGCTGCTCCTGGTTGTTAGAAATGGTGGAGGCAGTTCGTTCAGGTTCAGGTTGAACACGTCCCCTGTATTGGATTGGGTTCAAGATTGGAAAAAGGAAGAGGAGGGGGACATATATACCTGAGACGCTTCCTCGGTGGAGGGGAATGGCGACGCCTCGCCGTCGCCGTCGACGTCGCTGCCTTGGTTGCCAGACGACGGAGAGTGGTCCTGCTCCGTGCAGTCATGGCCTTGGGGAAGGCGCGCCTGCTGCTCGTGCACGTGCTTCTTCTTCATCTACAGGTTCCCTTTGTTGGATTCAAGATTGGGAGAAGGGAGAGTTCACCGGAGAGGGGGCGGTGGTGGCGGCGTGAGAGGGGGGAGGGAGGAGCGGCGGCGTTGGAATGGACGATGTGCTAGGGTAGGGTTAGGAGGAGGGAGGATTGTGATTTGATTTGGGTTTTTCTTTTCGTGCTGGGCCGGGTCACATGATCGAGAAACAAAGTGATTTTCGCGCGACGCAGGCGGGAACCCAAAAACAAATTTGGTCTAGAGTGGTTGGTCTTCGGGCGGGAGACTCGGATTTTTTTTTGCGCGAATACGTAAAGCTTACGTATCTTTTCATTGCTAGAAGAAAGAGAATCAGTATAATAGGGGGTACAACACATGGTATGAACGCAAGGAGGCGTGATCATGAAACACCGATCAGAGAGACAAAGGGGTGCTCAGCCCGAACAGGGGAAATGACACAACTAAACCCACTAATCCTAAACAGAAAGGCAGGCCGAACTAGCATGATGTCGAACATCTCCAAATGCAACACCGGAACGCCGCGAGCGAAATAAGATAGGGCCTTCAAGAAGGGGTGCGACGTCGTGACGCCGCCGCCATCCGATTCGAAGAACCAGACCTATGGTTTCCCCCAATGCTCGAAGAGGTGTGGATAAAGGCCATGGCAGTGCCTCCAGGAAAGGAAACGACATTCACCAGTGTTGCCGCTGCCAGCATCGGCAAGCCGAGCATGGATTTCGCCTGGCATGAGTTCGAGCAATCCCGTAACCGCCAGCTCAGGATCCGAAGATGAGGAAGACCATCCGTCGGTCGACTGCCATCCGGTAGGGAAGTGGTGGAGCTACACCTGCTGCGGAAAGAACATGAGCTTTGAAAATGACATGTTGTGAGTGTGGACGGGGTCGGGAAGGCAACATGGTAGAAAGCTGGCGTGGAGTGTAGGATGGTGACCGGCGCCGCCAACAAGCTAGAGCCGGAAGGGAGCGCAGATCCGAGTTGCCGGAGGCGGGGCCGCCAGAACACCGACAAACCGAAGACTCTGGAATGGGACGCATCGTCGGAGTGTCGGGCCAAAATCACGTCAGTAGGGATGCCGACAAGACATGAACACCGGAGAACGCGGGTTCATGGCCGCTGGGACCGGAGGTGTCGGCAAGGACTCACCGCGAAGCTTTAGCCCGCTGCCCAAAACAACGCTTTGACCACACACGGGAGAGGTTGCCTCCGTAACTCAAAGGAGACGCCGTCGGAGACGGAGGGTGGTCTGCAACACGGGGCAAGACCGAGCCTTGGCCAGCCTGTCACCTACACACAAGTCCTCGCACGCCCCAGAGAATAGCAGCAAGAAGGAAGCTGCGCCAGTAGGGGCAAGAGGCGCGACGGGAAAAGGTGCATGACCGCGCCGCCTCGCCGGACTGGCAGGACAAACACAACAGCAGTTGGAGGGAAGGGAAGCCTGCAACTCACCGGATCGAATCTGGGGGGCGGGGAGGTTGGGGAGGAGGAGCTGCAGTGCGAAGGGGGTGATGCTGCCCTGCTGCCCCCATCCTCAGGTGCGGTGCGGCGACACCGGCCGGCCCACCAGTGGCACCGCACTCGGGGAGGCGATGGCAATGGGGGATTGTTTGGGGGGAGGGGTCCTGTGCGAGGGGAATGACAAAACCGCCCTGCCGCCGCCATCCCTGGGCACGGCACGGCTTCGCCGACCGGGCCTCCGGCGGCGGCGATGCGGGGGACACTGGCAGAGGAAGGCTACCGGCGGCGACGAAGGTTTCCCCCGTGTTGCCAGTTACAGGCAACGCGGGGGGTGGGGGCATTCGGTTGACTCACTAATACTCCTCTGTAAAGAAATATAAGATCTTTTAGATCATTGTATTTTTGTATCTTACTTTATTTATTTATTTCAAAATAAAAGGTACTGTTCTCACAAACTCCGAATCAATCGGTCCAAGGTGTTGATGCCGATTGAAATAACGGCCCTCTAGCTCCTACTTCATAGCAAAGTCGCCTTGACCGGCGACGATGTGGAGCTAGTGAGTGTTTGGTGTTGCGAGGTGGCGTGCTTGCGCTTTGTTTGGTCTATCCATATGTGATGAGCGTGTGAAAATAGTTGAGGGGAAAAGATCTCATAAATAGTGGGATGAATAGTGGCAACACTATTAGGGGAAAATATCTCATGAATATTGGGATGAATAGTGGAAACACTATTAAGGAAAAATATCTCATGTATAGTAGGAAAATATCTGAGGGCTTTTTGGTATTTTCACCAAGCCTCTACCCCTTGTTTCCCCCATAAACAGAGGTCGAAAGGGTTGTCCATTCTCATCGAAGTTCTCTCTTGAGCTCTCATAAAATGGCATGCAATGATCTGCCCTTCTCTCTCTCCCTCCACGAAATAGTTTCGTAGTGCCGAAAGGCTGTCTGGTTTTCGGGAGCGCCTAGTCAAAATCCTAGCTGCGAGGATCTGCACCGCCAATCTTCAACAACTCTCTTTCCGCTGCTACTACGAGTTTGTAATGATCAGATCAAACCTTGTATGCATCTTCATAGGGATCCTGGGCGCGCTCGTAGTACAATTTTTTTTGTTTTTTTATGTGTTACCCTACATATAATGCCCTACTGTGGAATGCCACGTGGTCTTTAGTTTCTCCTCGTGTAGGTATGAACGTGGTGACCGACAAATGCAAGCTCAATCCGGATGGATCCCTTGCTTGGTATAAAGCTCGATGGGTGGTCTGTGGCTTTTCTCAGCGTCACGGGGTGGACTACGACGAGACGTTTATCCCAGTGTCAACCCGGCAATGATCCGTGTGGTGCTCATCATTGCCACTGCTCGCTCATGGCCCATTCATCAAATGGATATAAAAAATACCTTTCTTCACAATGATGGTCTATTATCAACAACCTTCTAGGTTCGTCAACCCCGATCGCCCCACTCATATTTGTCGCCTCCATAAATCTCTCTCTGGCGCCCCACGCACCTGCATGTGTTGTTAGACGTGGGCAGCCTCCTCTTGTATTTATTTGTACCAATGATTCAGATCAATAGATGTGTGGGAATTCTGTAAACTTTATTTTTGTCTAAATGGTACCCCCTCTGTAACTTAAAATGTAATCCTGCAAGACGTTTTATTTTTTGCACTGCGAAAACTTCTTACATTAAGTTAGAGGTTGTAGGATCGATTGCAGCACTATGCTAATTATACTACAAAGTCATGTATTTAGGTTACAATTAATGACGGTCATGGATGATCCATCAGCACACGGCGAAGAAAAAGGGTTGCACAACAAAAGAATGGCATCGTCGGTCCTAGAAGACAACAACAGTGTTCTATGGAGTTCTTTTCCATAATCAGAAGGGTGGTCAAGAAGCATGCCATCTTCGCTAATTGGCGGTTTACTCCTCTGCGATAACCAGAGCATCATCCACTCGTGTTCGACAGTTCCTTGTCAACGAAACATCAAACTCTCTACGATGGTCTGAAATAAATTCGCATCTGCTAACTATATTGTGACCAAGTTGCTCTGTTCTGTAATATCCTCTCTACATAGCGTCCAAGCTGAGGCGAGATAGAATCCGCAGCACCCTGGACACATTTCTTGTAAGAGACATCTTCACTGGTACCGTCGTTCCTTACCAGAATGAAGCACCTTGTGCCTGGGTGACTGGAATGATGTCCGATCTGCAAGCAGCATCATCACATAATCACAGGGTCACTATCCTATAATTCCAGAGTAGCCTTATTTCGCCGCAAAATAGTTGGCCATGATATATTTACAACAAAACAGGGATGCAAGTATGTAGCATGAGACGTCGGCAACGATAGATACCACCAGAGATTCAACAAAATGAACTCGATGAAAGGATTGTTGTTCATGCAACTTTTCAAACTCAATGATGCTGTGAAAGCTGGCAGCAGTAGAAACCTTAAGATCAAATTAAATCAACACGGCCATTTTCATATTAAGTGGACAGCTCATTGGCACATCATGTCAGCATCGAGAATATTCGCACATATACCAAATGAAAAACATATGCACACAAACATCTACTCCCTCCGTTCCTAAATATAAGTCTTTTGTAAAGATTCCAATACGAACCACGTACAGATGTATATGCATTTTGGAGTGTAGATTCATTCATTTTGCTTCGTATGTACTAGCCCATAGTGGATTCTCTACAAAGACCTATATTTAGGAACAGAGGGAGTAAGCGTTATGAAGCTATGACAAAAACAGGAACACATATGCACATAATTGTAGCGTTACGAAGCTATGACAAAAACAGAAACACATTTATATTACCTTTATATCTCTTATTCCAGCACCAATATTTTCACGCCCTCTGGGATGAAATCTCAGGGCCTCTATGAGACCAGGTCTCACGAATTAGCAGGTGAGACCCATCCTGATGGATGACACGTGGCATTCACAAATCACAAAGCATCCATCCCACCCCCCCACTTGAAATCAGGGGGGGAGAGATTAGATGCTTTGTGATTTGTGAATGCCACATGTCATCCATCAGGGCGGGTCTCACCTAATTTATATGAGACCTGGTCTCATATAATTTTTTTCCGTGATTTATCTAGCTCCACGACATATGCATTTAATTGGTACCTTCATGCAAGTAAAACATGGTATATATACATCATATAGGAAAGTAATCAAGATAGAATTTCAAATGGGATAAAAACTACTCCCTCCATCCCATAATGTAAGACGTTTTTTGATACTAGTATAGTGTTAAAAAACGTGTTACATTATGGGACGGAGGGAGTACTATGCACTATACAACACGGATAGTGACGGGAGCATTACTCATGTAGTGTAGCATTTTCTGCAAGCAAGTGCCCATGTCAATAATATTGTCCCATATACCAACCGTAGCACCAAAATAATCATGTTCCACGGATACGGTGCTTCCATTTAAGATAGTGCCACCTGACACTTGCCGAACTTCAGGGCTATGTAGGCCTCTGCCCCCCGCTCGGGCGACTCGAGGG